AACATTAACTGGAAGGTGTTGGGTTGGAGGAGGTTCCTCCATGACATGAGCTGCTCTCTCTCTCTCTCTCTCTCTCTCTCTCTCTCTCTCTCTCTCTCTTTTTTCCTCCTTGAGCAATAAGCTGCTGAAGCATATTGTTTCTTGTTCTTCTCTCTCTCTCTGGTAGCCTTGTAATTTGAAGTGCTGTACGTGAATCTGTGGGGATCTGAAGGCACATACCTTTAATGACATGGGTGAAGAACACCTGCACCAGCTTTGTTGTACCCAAGAGATTAAAGATGTTTTTATTTCCTGTGATGAACTGTTCTCCCAGGCGCACCAAAGACATACCATTTTTTCTACTCCTCCTTCTCAACATCTTTTTAAAAAAGTTATTAGCTGCTGTAAAGATAAAAAGACTCTCAATCGAGCTCGATTCCGGCTAGCCGTCTTCTTGACACCAGTACAGAAGTGATTTGCTACTGTCACCTTTAGTTTCTTCCAAATAAAAGCCTTCCGTCGTTCCTGAGCCAACCACAGCAGATCTACGAAGGCAGGCAGGTTCTGCCTATCCTCGGAATCCCTTTCATTCCCTCTTGCAAAAAGCAGCAGCGTCCAGATTGCGCACAGCCGAGAGGGAGGGCGAAGCGAGTGGGATCCGACGAGCCACCAATAGGGAGACGCTTTTGAGAGCGAAGGCGTGGCTAGCATGCTCCGGTAGGTCCGTCAGGCTGTTTCCCAAGGCAAGCAGCATTGCCGCTCTGCAGGTGGCGAAGCCTTGGCTCGGCTGGTAGCTCGCCGCGGCTCTTGAGGGTTTCCAAGCGCGCCAAAGCGTTCCGCAGAGCGGCTCCCTTCGAACCCGGGCAAACGTTGCCGTGTCCTGCAGCGGTTCTACTTCGCAGCACTTTTCCTCCGGAAAGCGGGAAACGAGGACTGAGCGTGGGGCTACAAACAGCTCGCAGGTGAGAAGCCTCACTTCGGCGCCCTGTATTTGAGCGGTCTCCGCGCTGAAAAGGGAAAGGGAGAGCGAAGGGACCGGAGGGAATTCCGTGCGCCTCACCCTAGCGGACTAAGGATGCGCCGGAGGAAACGCTGTCCTGTCCTTGGTTTGAGGTCAGAGGGAAGGGACGCTGCCCTGATGGGTTCCGCCCCGCCAGGCTATCTCCAGAAGAATAGGGGTAGCCATTCTGCCACGGAGTTAAATGCTACCCGTCTTTTTTGCTTGAACGCCCGGAGACCCGCCGTGCGCGGGCGTGTGCCAGTTTTCCACACCGGGAGCCTTGGACGGGCTTGGCCTCTTCTGAGCTGAAGAAACCCGCCAATCGCTCTCTCGCCCTTCCCGGGTCCGCGCTTTACAGGGTCACTCTGGGTGTGCGTGTGCGTAACCCTTCTGAGGCACTGGTTTTCCCCACCCATCCCTTTTCGGCCGCAGCGGCAGCAGCCGCCTGCCGGCCTGGAGGATTTTTATTAGCTCGATTAGCTCCGGTTCGACCACCCATCACATCAGAGACCCTGTCCTCTGCCTCCTCTCCTCTCTTCCCGGATCCCTAAGGGAAAGGGACCGATGCAGATCGGGAGTTAACAGCAACGAACTTCGCCCCCCAGACTTATTTTTGCCAGTCCATATTGGTCAACCAATTGACAACACAACTTTCTTTTGGTGTGTATGTATGTATGTGTGTGTGTGTGGCTAATTGATCCTTAAATCACGGTAGAAAAATAAGGATCCTTAAGTCCAGAGAGAAGGATAAGGGTCTTTCTCACCTCCCCTTCCTATTTATGCTTTCTTCTAAAAATCACACCATCCTCTCACAAATAATACCATACTTCAGACAAGTGGAAAAACTGCTTGTTGCTCATCTTTTTCAAAACAAAATTCATAGTGTGTGGAGTATGGAACATTACAATATAAGGAATACCATAAAAACGATTTGAGTATCAGCTTCCTCTTTATTCCATCTATCTCCTCCCTCCCTCCATTGTTTTATCTGGTTTTTTCTTATACCTTGAACTCATATGCTCATATGAGGACTATAAACCTTTCTTGCTTTCTCTTATTAGACTGTGCAGTGGGCAGAAAAAACTGATCCATATAACATGAATTCCAGAGTTCCCAAGTTCTATGTTGTAATTCTCATGTTCCTGTTAAAAGCATAGGGCTACTTTTATCTCCCAGCAGAGTTTAATCTCTAGGTTTGTCTCTCTGGGAATGGTTTTACAGTGAGAGATTGGTACTGCCTCAGATACAGAGCAGCTGCAATATTACAGTACAATATCACAGGGACCAGTGGGGAAAACCATAACAGATACTTCAGGGAGAATGGAGCAATGACACAAAATAGGAAGAATAACTTTAATAAACAATCGTATATGTAATATTGCTAGTTATACTTGTTAGTAGAAACTAAAATATACTTTCTCTCTAAATGACTTCATAACAAATATTCTGTAGTGTTTATAATAATGAGTTGATTGATTCTATGATTAATGCTAAAGCTGTAACATCTATATACACCAATTATTTTCCTAAGTATGAAATATTTTTACCAGCTTACATTTTAACAAATAAAATAATAACCATTTTTTGAACTTCTGGCATTTAAAGATGAAGATTGCCATTGTCTTTGCTGGCTTTCCTTGTATTGTAGTCTTCACTACAGTGAATACTGTAGTATTCTATGATAGCTTTTCCTCTTAAATTACTCGTTAGATTTATTTTCAGTAAAGGGTCAGTCATAGGAGCAAAGTTCTTGTGTGACATACACAAATATGCACACATGCATCTTTGCTTTAAATCTTTATGTAATTAGCTTAAATGACAAACTTTCTCCTCCAAATTATATAAAACTGTTGATGTTAATCAATACTTTCATATTATAGGGAATAGTGAGGAAATTAAAATAAAGGGAGTAACCACTATATATTATACTTGCCTTTAAACACACCCCTCTCCTTGACTGTTTCCTCATTTCATTTTGCTTGTTATAAATAAGAACCAAAAGAAGAACAGGATTGGATAAATATTAACTAATAAACAGCAATTTCCCTGTCCAGCTACTTTTGCTGGGAGGAACTGGGAACATAAACTCTCAAGGACCTGCTTTATCTCCAGGAGTAATTAAAATTCTTTTTTTAGTCAGCTCACTTCAGGCTCTCTTAAAAGTTGAACTTTTTCCAATGAAGTTTATCTTTCTTTCTGCTAAACATAATTGTTTCACACATCACTTATGCTTTCCCTGCAGTTCAGTGACATTACAGGACCTTTCGCTCAAGCTAATTGCTGACTGTCTGAGTGTGTCGCTAAGATGATAAAACTTTGGGTTCTAATCACATTTGGGCTGTTGCATTTCATTGGACAACGGAAGCAAGGGGCTAGCAAGTAAGCAGTTGGCTGGGCAATTTAATTGCAGCCATAGAATGGGAGGAGCTGGGATTCTGCCATTTCTAAAGGGCAAAATCCAGACTGGATGGAGTTATAGTGCATTATTGATGAGTAAGGCTCAAGTATAAGCATAAAGGCTGCATCAGCAAATTCAAGGTATGTTTTGCCAGTGTCAGGAAAGTTCTGGAGATTTCAGCAGGATTTTACAAACAACTGATTGCACTTGTGTACACTGTTGAATCTGCAAGATGCAATTAGATACCGATTTTGATTAATGGGAACAGCTTGTTCATTCTGTTTCTAAAACATTAAGAATATGAACTCTGATATACTTTGCAAGGTTCATTTTCTTATCTTTCTTCCAATGTAGGACCCAGGGGGGAAAAGGGGGAAATGTTCAGTCATTATATCCACATAGAGCTGTCCTCCTACCCATCTACCCATTTTAAATTTCTATTGGTGGTCTTATTTAACTGTCAGATTGAGGTATTTTATTCTTCTAAGATGCTCATAGTGGCATTTTTAGGGTTAGCTTATTTTACAGTTGGAAGAGCCTAGGGAGATTACTTAGGCTGAAAGAACATAACTATCAGGTTCATTAGATAAATGCTATTACTGCCCGATCTCTCTGTTTCAAGTTCAACATTCGAAGTAAATCCTTCTCCTCAGTATTCAACCTGCTAGGAAATTTGGAGAAGGATCTCTCTTTTATGCTATAATACTGGTTGGGAAATGGGTTGCTTTGACCAGATTCTAACTCCATTCTGCACATTAATTTATTTTTTAAAATTTATTTATTTATTTTATTTGTTTGTTTGTTTGTTTATTTATTTGTACAGCTGCCCATCTCACATAAAAGTGACTCTCACATAAAAGTGAACTGCAATAGTTAGGCTTTTTAAAAGTCTCATATTGGAAACATCTGAAAACATCTTCAGTGGGTGGCTTTTTTTAACTGAAATTCTGTTACAAGGTAGGGATCTTTGAGTATTACAGACAGAGGAATGGGGAAATGGACTGGGAAATGTGTGATTAATGTGTACAATTTTTGTTTGTGCGTGTGTGCCTTTGAGTCAGTTTTTGACTCC